CTGAAAACAGGATGTGGCACATGAAAGGAGTGAGGTCGGGTTGCCTGTTCACTTACACTGGCTTGGGGCAGAGAGGAAGGGGTGGGTGGGAGAGAAGTGGGACCAGAGAATGGCTTTTAGACATCCCCAATCCTTCATGGAGTGGGCTGAGAATCTATGAAATTTTAAATCAGAGACTCAAAACTCTGAATCCTTTTTTTTTCTTAGAATTGAAAGGCCCTACTGGGCCACCTCTGGTCACCCTCCCACAGACTGCATATGTTGGAGGCCCCTGAGGGCCTCTGCTTGTCCAGCACAGGGGTCTGCCCTCCAGGGAGGACCCACAAGCCCTCCTTTCACCAGAGGGACTCTGTCCTGCAACGTCAGCTTCTCCGTCAGAAGCTGGAAGAAGCTTTACCCTGGATGGGAGGCTTACATACTACCCAGGTTTAAACTAACTATCTCTCTCTCTCTCTCTCTCTCTCTCTCTCTCTCTCTCTCTCTCTCTCACACACACACACACACACACATACACACACACACACACACACACATACACACACACACACACACACACACTCATACACACACACACACACACACACACACACACACACTCACACAACCAAAAAACTAAAATACAGTTTGCAACTCCTCTTGAGTGTCAAGACAAAAAAAATGGGAACCTAATACATAAAGAGAATGTAATGGGTGCCTGTGAGTAACTAAAATAAAAACAAAGCCAACAAAATAGGCAACCTTACTCCTCCCTCCGCTGACAGTCCCGCAGACAGACCTTACAGGTCTGATGGAGAAGGAGCCTTTGTCAAATTCCCAAAAACATAGGTTGTCTGTCTCTTCTAAACCAAAATTCTATCCCAATACTAAGTTTCATAACGATTTTGACTGATACACACAGCTTCATAGAGAATGAGTGTCTGTGTGTGTGTTTAGACAGAAACAGAAACGGTTCCTTAAGGCACCCAGGTTAGTAAAAGCATCCTGCCTTCCAACCTCTTCTACCATCCTTTGCTGACTGTACCAGCCCAATAAGCCTAGGGGGACCTGGCACTGTGCTAGGCTCTTTGCAGGAACCCACGAGGCAAGACTGGGTTCTGCTCACCCTTTCCCATGCGGGGTTTTGGGGGGTGGAAGGGTCAAGTCCCAGGTCTGTCCGGACTCATTTATTCTGTGAACACTTTGCTGAGTCCATTTGTGCCAGGAACACGGAATAGGCAGGAGGGGCTTGGAAGCCTCAGTCCCCAGTGGGCGAGGCAGCAGACCCCTTCCCGGGCCTCAGTGTCCCGTTAGCGGGGGCGCTCGCCCCGCCCCCGGGAGCCGGCTCAGGCCGCGGAGACCCGCCCCGGCCACCCCGGCTTCCGCCGCCGGCCACGTCCGCGGGGCTCTGCCGGAAGCGCGCGCGGGCCGCGGGAGGGAGGCGGCGGCTGCGGCGGAGGCGCCGAGGTTGGTTGCACTTCACCCCGCCCCACCTCACCCGCCCCACCCCCACCGCCCTGGGACTGCGGGCGGTGCCGGCCCCCGCTCCCCTCCCCCCCCCCCGCCCGCGCCCCCGCCCCGGGAGGCCCAGGTCCCGCTAGCTCTGGCGGGGCTCAGCAGTGCGGGCCTCCTCACGCGCCACCGGGACTCCCTGCCCCAGCTCTTCCCGCGGGCTCCCGGGGCTCCCCTGGGGTTCCCTCAGCCTGGAGAGATGGCGGTGGCGAGATGACAGTCACCTGTCCCGGGGTCGGAGGAGCGAACGGAGCGAACTTTAGGCCAACTGGGGTTAACATAGGCCAACTGGGGTTGCTGGTGTCTAGCCCCATGCTAGGGACAGCCTGTGGGGAGACTCCAAGAGGAAGTGGAGTCTGGTCCAGGTGCCCCCTCCCTCCCCTAAAGACAAGTTGGAAGACTGGGGAGATGGGGGTACACGGCTCAGAGAGACCTCGCATGTGAGGATCTCGGGGGTAGAGCCTCAGAGGTGAATGGGTGGAGGTTCAGAAAGGAAGAGAATTCTATGGGAGGAGCCGAGTCATGTCAGGTGCTGGCCAGAGGGCTGGTTGTATGAAAACTGGGGCAGGCCCAGGGCGTTTGGCGACTTTGACATTGAGAACCTGGAGGAGACAGGTTCCATGGAGCACCTGTGCAGGCAGCCTTTCCCATACGTTCTGTCAAAGTGAGGAGAGTGTGGGTGCAAGAGAGAATTTGGGGTGAGGGCAAAGAGCATGTTAAAGCACTGGGTGTGGTTAGAGCACCGGCTCTGGGTTCAGAAGTCCCCATTCACTCTCTCTGAGACCTTGGGCAAGTCACTTAACCTCTCTGTGCCTTCATCTGTAAAAACGGAGGAATGATGACAGTACCTGCCTCATAGGGTTCATGTGAAGATGAGATGAGATGGTGCCTGCAAACGTACTTCACACAGCACCAAAAAGTAGTACTTACTGTTTTTCCCTCTTGTTAGTAGAGCAGTTGAAGCATATTTTTTAAAATATATATATTTTATTATTTCCACAGAGCGGAAGGGAGAAGGATAGAGAGCTGGAAACGTCGATGAGAGAGAAACATCAACCAGCTACCTATTGCACACCCCACCCTGGGGATGTGCCCGTAACCAAGGCACATGCCTTTGACAGGAATGGAACCTGGGATCCCTCAGTCCGCAGACCGACGCTCTATCCACTGAGCCAAACCGGTTTTGGCAGCTGAAGCATATTTTGATGCTGATAGGAAGGAGCTAGTAGAGAGAGAGGCATTGAAGACAGAGGGGAGAGGAAAGGGACTAGGCAGTAAGGGACCCAGAACTTAGATGGGAGAGAAATCTTGGGTGCCTGTCTGTGTCGAACCAAGAGAAGGAGGAGTCAGGTGGGGATGCAGGGAAGTTTTGGGTTTGTGGTAGGCGATTAAGGGAGTGTCTTTCTGGTAGTCTTGTCTTGACGTAGGCCTCAAGGTCATTTGCTAAGAGGACCAGGCCAGGGCTGGCCCAGGGGAGGGTGAAGGTCCTGGTGTGCCATGCCCTCTTTGCCAGCAGTTTGGTAGCCCCAGTTTTGCCCCCAGGAAAAGTGGGCAGTTGAATTTATTTCGGGTCAGAGGACAACATCTGACCTGCCTTGTCCACTTGTGAGGCTCAAATAAAGTTGATGGATGTGTAAACAATATATATGAGCATCCTTTACCATTTTAATCCTCTCCCCTGATGGTGAGAAGCTGGGAGGGCTGTGACCATCATTGGAAGACAATCTCAAAACCTTTTGAGCACTTCAATATGTATCATGCCATACTTTCACCTATGATCTCATTTAGTCACAACAGTCAGGTGAAGTTGGTATTAATATTACCCCCATTTTACAGATGCAAAAGCTGAGGTTAAAGACCTTGACCCAGGACACACAACTCGTAAATAGTAGATTTAAGATCTAAGCTAAGATTTATTAGACCTCAAAGCTCATGATTTGGCCGAAACCGGTTTGGCTCAGTGGATAGAGCGTCAGTCTGGGGACTGAAAGGTCCCAGGTTCGATTCTGGTCAAGGGCATGTACATTGGTTGCGGGCACATCCCCAGTGGGGGGGGGGGGGGTGCAAGAGGCAGCTGGTCCATGTTTCTCTCTCATCGACGTTTCTAGCTCTCTATCCCTCTCCCTTCCTCTCTGTGGAAAATTAATTTTATATATATATATATTTTTTTTTTATTTTTATTTTTAAGCTCATGATTTGGAACCATTATAAAAATTTACAAAGTCCCTAGTAGCAGCCCCACAGGATAGAAAGGTGTGAAGGAATCCTCTTTTCCATTTGTTGGTGAGAAGACAGAGGCTGGGTGCTCTGGCCTTCATCCTGGACTCTAGGCTCCCCGACTCAGCCTTGCTTTCATCTCTCTTGTATTGATGAAGGAATCCATTATGTATGGCCCCACAGACCTGCTGCGAATCTTGCTCCACCACCAGGCGCTGTGTGACTTGGATCCAGTCCTCTTGCTTCTCTGTGCCTATCTATGTGGTCACAGAATTCCCAGCTGGTTGCTTTGAGGAATAGGAAGGAAAATGTTGCCCTGCCCACAGTAGATGTGCCAGGAGCCACAGTTCCCACACAACAGTGGGTCTGCCTCATACTTGGCCACTGAGTACCAACTCCCTGTGGCCTTGTATTTATCTAGAGCTTTGTTCTCAGGGCCGGGAAGTGGTAGTGCCTGACCAGGGTATGTGGCCACCTATGACTTCCTGAGTGGGGCCCTGAGCAGTGTATGGCTCTGCAGCCTTGGACTTGAAAGGAGGGGAGGGCCCTGTGTTGTCATCGAGACTGGTGAGGAGTGCCACAGGCAGGGCCATCAGAAGCCTCCTGCTGCCTCTGGCTGCCTTGGCCCTATGGAATATTAGAGCTTAGAGGAACCTTGAAGATCTCCTGTTGCAACTCCTTTCTTTACAGATGGGGTAACCAAGACCCACTGTGAGGAAGTGACTTTTGCCTGAGACACTGGAGAGAGCAGAGATTGAGCTCCTGGATCTTGCATTTTTGGAACTGCCACTAGGACCTAGGGATTTCCACCAGGGCAGTGAACACCCCCACCCGGAATTCCAGGCCTCTCAGAGGTCGCGGGGAACACAGACAAATCACCAGCTGTGGCTCTCTGCCCATGTCCCCTGGGGAAGAGGGGCGGAAGCCAGTGGCAGCCCGAGGTTCTTTGATGGGGGAACTCTGACTATGGTTCCTGAAAGTGTGTGACACGGTTGTTTTTTCTCTCTGACTTGTTCTCTTGCTCTCTGTCACTCTAAAGAATGACTGGGCACTCCTAGAGCCTTCACTCAGCATCCAGGGGGTTTTTTCACCACGGAGGGTAATTCCTGCCCCATCCCTGTTGTGATTCAGCTGTGACGTTGAACCACACAAATCAGCGAGAAGATAAAGTCATCAGACTCCTGCTCACCAGAGAGGGTGGCCCACGCCAGAACTCACTTCTCTCAGCGCAGACTCCACGGGCTGTTCCTCTCCCCAGAGGAGCTTAGGGCCCCTGGCCAGCCTGGGACCTCGGGATGGCCTCTGGCTCAGCCAGCAGCTCCCGCCCAGCCCCTGATGAGAATGAGTTTCCCTTTGGGTGCTCTCCCACCGTCTGCCAGGACCCATCAGAGCCCAGGGCCCTCTGCTGCACCGCCTGTCTCTCTGAGAACTTGAGGTGAGGGGTCAGGGGAGCAAAGAGAGGGTGGGAAGAAGGTGCCAGGGAGGGACCCCTGATGAGAGACAAGGGTGAGAGGAACCCGTGGCTTGGAGCGGGTGACTTCACCTCTCTGGGCCTCTGTTTCCACACCCTCTCCTTGCAGTCCCTGCCCCCACCCCTTCTGATCTTGATGGAAGAAGTAGCCACAGACAGATGTTAGCTGCCACAGCTGAAGGCTGTCCGGGGTCGGGGAGAGCCTCAGGCCCAGCTGGGCTCCTTACTTACTATGAGGCTGGGTGTTTCATGCCTCAAAACCTCAGCTTCCTTGTCTGTAAAATTCCTGTAACGCTACTTTCTACCTCCCAGGATTAAGAGGCGAAATCAATAATATTCCAAAAAATTTTTTGTAATAATGAATATAAACTTTCTTAGTAAATGGTGAACTGCTATGCAAATATATCTCCTTCCACAATATCACCCATCAGCTTGTATTGTTTGCTGAGAACACTTTTAAAGGGAGCAAAGATATCTGTATTTATGTAAATATGTATGTATGTATGTATAGATGATATATTTATCTATAGGGTTTGGGCAAATTGTAAACTTACTTTTGCCCACCCCTGTATGAATATATATAGTTGACTATGTATATATTTATGTATGAATATATACTTACAGAAATACATGTTTTACATATGTAAAATATTTAAAATATCAATAACTCAGAGAGGTGTGACATCCATAGGATCATCAGCATTCCCCTAGTTTGAGCCTACTATGTGCATCTTTCCTTGGGTCTTCAGAAGAGCTTTGGAAAGGTGGATACTATTATTGTCCCATTTTACAGATGAGGACAGTGAGGCCTAATGGAGAGATTGGGTCAGCTTGCCCCAGTACAATTTCCTGACAAAAGTGCTCTTTAACTGCCACACACCCTCAGCTTGACCTTTGGAGTTTTACAGCTTGCTTAAGAAGGTGGGAAAACTGAAATAGCCAAGTTTGAGAAATTCAAATGCTTTGATGCAGGGGGAGGGGAGAGGTGGCCATGGAAAGGCCAGGTCGTGGGGGTGGGGTGATCAAAGCTTGGCTGGTTTCACCATCAAGCTGATTGCTGTGGGTTCATCTCGGGCTTTTGCACTGGGACTCTTGGCTTCCCTCCTCCCCATTTTTTCAAAACCAGGTAGAAGTGAGGAAGGAGCTAACTGGACATCAAAGGGACCCAGGCAGAGTTTTGCTCCTGACTCTGCCTCTTCTTGGCCAATCCACATGTCCTCTGAGGTAGCAAGTTTAGGGCCTGACCTGTGGCTCTGACTGTGGATCAGAATGACTTGGGAACTTTGTTAAAGCACACAGGCCCATGTGTCATCTGACCGCCCACCCCTGGTAGGGAACCTCAGGCTAGGTCCTCTCTGAGGCCCCTTCTTGTTCTAATCGGCCATGGTCATCTGTAATTCCTAAGACAAGGAGACCAAAACCAAATAGAAGAAGCTGAGAAGAGCAAACGGAGCCACACATCCACCATCCCACCTGAAGCCCTGGCTCAGATGCATTTTAGAATTCAGAATTTTTTTCAGATTTCAGAAAAGCAAGTCAGTGCCTCACTGTGCAGTTCTTCCAGTGGGGTTGAGGCAGCACCGTCTGATGCTGCCTGTTAATGCTTCTGCAATGAAACATAAATATTCACACTAAGTGGGATAAGGGTTAGAATAGCCGCCAAATGACTTCAGCTGCCAAAGAAGCTCACTGCAAACTATGGAAAGACACTGGGTGCCCAGCATTGTGAGGTTTGGGAATGGTGGGTCTGGACCTCATGCTCACTGATATCAGGCACCGTGCAGGGCACAGCCGGGCTTTGGGAGCCACCGGGACAGAGGTTGGTGCCAGGGCGTCGTGAATGCTGCACTCAGCCTGATTTGTTCGTATGTCTCCAGGAACGGCGAGGATCGGGTCTGTCCCAAGTGCAGAGGAGACGATTCTCAATCTGTAAGCCCAGGGAGCCTTATGTCTCAGGAGAAGGTATGTTGACACAGCCAGGAAAGGGTACCTGTCTATTTTCTCCATTTGTTGAGATCGAGGCCAAGTAGACAGCCATTCCCCAGTCCCGGCGGGCACCTCCCTCTTTGTCTCTTGTTTGGCTGAATTTGGTTTGTAAGCAGCGAGGGGACTGACAGTGCCTTGGTGAAGCAACTTGCCCAAGGTCACTGGGCTGATCTGTGACAGATTTGGGATGAGAACAGTCTAAACCAGGCATCTGCAAACTACGGCCCGCAGGCCACATCCAGCATGCCACCTGTGTTTATACAGCCACAAGCTAAGAATGGTTTTTATATTTTAAATAGTAAAAAATAATAATAATAATAATCAAAATAAGAATGATATTTTGTGACACATGTAAATGATATGAAATTCAAAATTCCATGTCTATAAGTAAAGTTTTATTGACACACAGCCATACCCCCTCATTTATGAATTGTGTGTGGCTGCTTTCGCCCTGTGACAGCAGCAACACAGGCTTCAAAGTTCAAAATATTTACTCTTTGTTAACTCCTGATATAGACAGTTCTTCTTGCTCTTGATTGCCCTCAGACAAGGTGATGCCATTCTCAGCTCCCCTCTGCGGCTCAGCCAAGCCATGCTCCTAAGTATAGAGATGGCCTTGAGAGTGTGAGGGGCCAAAAAGACATCCTCAGGCCCCCAGTTTAGAACCCCACTCCTTCTAGGTTAGAAGGACCCTCACTGGTCGTCTGTCCAGTTTAGAGGTTTCCACAAGCTGACCAGAGCTGGTCCATTCCCAATAGTTCTTGACAAAATGATAAAAATATGGAAATTGTAGTGGGAATTTTATAAAACTAAATTCTTTTCACTTATAGAATCAGCCTTTACTCTGAGATTATGCTCTTCCTATGTATGTCTTTGTAAAAATGAAATGATGGTGACAGTAAATATAGAATTTTTGGTAAAGTCTTTATTTGGTAAAAATAAAAAGATGACAATCTTTATGTTAATCTCCGAATTAGAAGGAAACTTGTATTGATTCATAAATCCAAAGCTGTAAGAATATAAGAACCACTGCTCTAAATCTAACCCCCTTGTCTTACACATGGGACCCCGATATCCACAGGGGCATCTCAATGAAAAGGACCTCAATGCTCAGCTGTCCTCACTGTCCTCACTGTGGGACAGGCACTCAGCTCCTTTCAGCCAAGGCTCCCCCCTTGCCTTGAACCACAGCCCAGGAGCCTGATGTTCAACGATGCTCAGGAATGGTTCTCTATCATTCAGTTTGTGGCCAGGATGACTCCTATGCCTATTTCTCTGACTGTAAAATGAAAGGGCCATGTTTGCTCTGCAAGGCCTTTCTATCTAGGACCTGTGATGTCAGATACTTTCCCTCCCACCTGTAAGGAACCCAAGGCAGGCGTGCGTGCCTCCGTACTTCCCTCCGTTCTCCTCTCTGAGCCCTCATTCAGAGGGTTAGGAGGATTTCCTGCCCTACCCAGAGCTGGTTTTGAGGGCTCTCCCATCCCTTTTTCAGCAGCCCCTCCCTGTAGGATCTCAGGGGAATCTTAGTAAGAATCCAATGCATTGTCCCAGAACTTTATAGTCCACAGTGCACTAAGAGCTTATAGGACAAACGGATCCATGGAATAACTTCCGGAGCCTTCCTGTTTGGGCATCTTGGTGCACTAACCATGAAAGGCGTGAGCAGAACCATAACTCTGTGGCTGCCGTCCTCCCCTACACAAGGAAGGGCAGGGCTGGATGCTTCCTGAGGCTCCTGCCTGCTTGAATGCTCCAGAGCTATTGTTTTTAACTTGGTTTATTCTGACTTCTTAACGAAATTAACACACAGGCATTGTACAACTCTTATTATAGATAATATAGAGAAGAGATCTACGGTATTCATATCTCTTCATTCAATGGCTGTAATTTATCCATCTTCGTTAACATGAAATCAGATGACAGTGGAAGTGCTGTGACTAAAGAGTATTCTGGAACCCTGAACTAACTCACACACACACACACACACACACACACACATATATATATATATATATATATATATATTTATAATTGATTTTTTTACAGAGAGGAAGAGAGAAGGAGAGAAAGTTAGAATCATCGATGAGAGAATCATCTATCAGCTGCCTCTTGCACACCCCCCACTGGGGATGTGCCCGCAACCAAAGTACATGCCCCTGACCAGAATTGAACCTGGGACCTTCAGTCCTCAGGCTGACGCTCTATCCACTGAGCTAAACCAGTTTTGGCTGGAACCCTGAACTCTTAATCAGCCCAGCTGCCCAACCCCCGAGGGACTGGGGATTTCTAGGGGACCCTGGAGAGCACAGTTTGAACTTGCTGCCTTAAACCAAATGAAGTGACTCTAATGGTGGAATTACAGGCACTGTAACAGGCAACAGGGTAGGAGGGGGTACTTCCCACATTGGGGACAGGCAGGCCTCTAAACAGCATGGTTCTCCCTCCCACCCCCGCTTTCCCCTCCTGAAGCTATCACCACTGAAACCCCAGTGGAAAGCTGGAGGGGTAAGGGGGTTAGCCAGTGGTCTGACACACACACCCCCAAGCCACCTAGTGGAAAGACCAGGGACTCCTCCAGCTCCTGACCCTGATGGGAACTTTGGGGGACTTTTGGCCAAAGGAAAGCAGCTGATTATAAGTCAATACTTTGCATGCGTGGTCATTGTGAAGTTTGTCTGTGATCTGGGGAAACCTGGGGATGGAGGTGGGTGGAAGATTTGGGATGGAGACCAGCTAAGCTAAGCCTAGAGGCACCCATTTTGGCAAACACTTCCCAGGCCATCTGCTTATCACTTTGTCCTCATCTTCTGACTTCATTAGATTAATATCTCTCTAAGGAGTGCTTACAGCCCAGGACCCATTAGGTAATATAAGAAGCAGATATTAAAGGATTACTATTGACCTAGTTACAGACTTGGTTCTTGCCTGGAATGACCTTCCTGTAGAAGTGACAGTGAATAGGGGACAGCCGGTAGATGAAAAATAACATTTAATTCGTGCTGCGTGTGACCCGTGAATGGAGTGGGTTCCTCTCGTTCTCAGTCCCTCTGAGGCCACTCAAGGTCAAAAGCAAGCTGGCATCTGTTGCCAGTGGCTTACAATAATGCCTTAACTTATTCTAGAATCAGAAAGTGAGAGGGGGTCGAGCTGTCTAGTCCAGTTTCTGTTCTGTACTAGATTCCTGCCAAGTGGCGTAATGTCCTCCCAGTGATGGGGAGCTCCTTACTCCGAGACATGACCTCTTCCACTCCGGGGGATTGGGAGGGGGTGGGGGGCTCTGACTGTTGTACCATTTTCCTTTTTGTTTGTACTGATCTGAAGTCTGTCTCCCTCAAGGCCACACCAGGCAAGTCCGTCAGCTTCCTGACCTCTGAGGCAGTCTGCATGTGTGGAGAGGTGCTGACCACGCTCCCCTGAGTCTGTCCTTGTCTCTATGCATGTGTGTCCTTCGAAGTGTGATGTGTAGAAATGAACCTTTGAACCCTTACACTGCTGAGCTTGGTGAATGCATCTGTAACCTCATCAGTCCTGTGACATCCTGTGTGGATATTGGTGATACATCGAGGTTCCATGAGGAGGTGTGCCTGGGCTAAAGTCATGGATCAGGAGGGAGGCAAAGCCAGGCTCCAAACCTATAGCAATCTCTTTCACGGCCCATGTAGAAAAGGTTCCAATTCAGGGTTCAGGTTCTGGAGAAGGGCCGCACACAAATGAAAAGACTTAAGACTTGAAGAAATTCAACTTGGCGATATGGGAGGCCAGGTGGCAGTCCAACTCTAGTGGGAGAACTGCTCCTGCTCTGGCCCTGCCCTCCCCTTTTGTTGAGGCTTTGGGGATAACATCTTAGGCAACATAAACAGAAATTTACATGTAGCTGTTAGGCAGGAAAATAACAGAAATTTACATGGGACAAACAAGGAGGAGACTGCTTCAGCTAACAATATCTCAACTAAAGATTAAAGCAATTAAGGTTGTTGACCAGTCTTCCTGGCTTCCTGTCAACATCTCTTTTATAGTGAAACTGATTTATTTTCCAGCACAACCCCTACTTCCTAGGCTGGTGGCCTCTTCCACTCTGCTGCCTCCATGGCAGACCTCCTCTAAATGTGTTCAGCAGGTTTACGTCCCACAGTCAGCCTTAAGTGCTAGAAAAACAGCAATGGGCAAGACTACTTCCAACGAGGAGAATCACGCAGGGCTTCCTGGAAGAGGTGTCAGTTGAGCTGGGCAGAGGTTGCCAGAGAGGAAGCTGGCCCAGGTGCAGAGGAAGGCAGGCCTGGCGGTCAGAGGCAGACTGCCTGGGTCTGCCCTGTCACAGTAGAGTGCCTCTTCCTCAATACCAGCCAAATCCTGAGCAAAAGCAGCCCCCGCAGTCATCCAAGACCTCAGGTGGCCTCTGTGCCAGCGCAGCGGTGCGGCCCAGGCCTGGCACGCTGCAGACCCTCTGTTGTGTGCAGTAGCTTCACAGAGGCGGCTCTCATGCTCCCGCAGGCACCCTCTAATGCTCACATTCCTGGAGGCCCGTGCGTCCCTGAGTGGGGGCCTCTCAACAGAACCCTCCTCTGACCCCCTCGCAGAAGGCCTGAGTGAGCAGGGTGGCGAGGAACACCACAGACCCACAGACTTCCTGGAGCAGACAGAAGGACGAGTGTTCCCTCAGGGCTGGGGTTCTGTTTTCTCTGTCTCTGTTTCCTCCTCAGAGGAAATTCCACTGCGAATTTTATTTTTAGCAGTTTGAAGCGTGCGGCCACTAACAGGGGCCGCTTGTGGTACTGGACGTACCCCAGGCTTGGCCCAGGACAGATGCCCTGGTCTTCGTCTGCAACCCCAGCCTGATTCCCTTTTCTGTTTCTTCAAACTCCCTCCCCCCCGAACCTTCCCCACCCCGCCCTTCAGATGAGGCCATTTTTCGACAAGGCAAGGACTTCCTGGTGTAGAGGAAGGACCCTGGACATGGACTCCAGGCCCCTGATCCCCACCTTATCTTTGCCCCAAACTTGCATCGCCTCCTGCAAGTCACTGCCTGTCCCTGGGTTATGGCTCTTCCACTTACACGGGAGAAGCAGAACTAAGCCCCAACCTCCTCCTCATGGTACAGAAGATCTGACCAGACCATGCTCACACAGAGGCCGAGAAAGCAGCATGCCCTCGCAAGGCCTAACGATGGGACAGAAGACCAAAAGTCAGCCACCTACTCAAAGTGTGCAAGGTTGATGAGGCCTTGAACAAGCCAGTCACCCAGTTTTCCATCTGTGTTAAGGCTAAGGTCATCTCACCCTGCCTGCCTCAAAGGATGACCACAGAGATCCTATGAGAGCATGCAGAAATGCTTTGGTGTAGGGAGTGGTTAACTCTCAACTGACCTGCTAGAAAGTCGCAAACAAGTCCCAGCTTGGAGGGCACAGCCCTCTAAGCATAATTAAGCTTGATCTTGTGACTGCTCCCTAGGTCTCTCCTGGGTAGCTAATGGACTGAGGGAGATGCAGCAAGTGCTGCCAAAACAAGTGAAACTTACAAGAACATTGTAAATTACCTTGTATACCTCTGACTATAAATTAAACCATCAGTTTGCCCTCTGGATCTGTTCTATGGCCTCAGCCAGTCACAGAAGATCCACCTAGACCCAGCTTATTCTCTTTGTCTGTCTTTTCTTCATCCTTCACCGGCCCTTCCTTGGACTCGCCAAACCCTTGGCTGTGCTGGCATGGCACACTTTGGTTCTATATAAATGTAAATATAGTTAGGGATGTTCCTTGCCTCCTCAAGGAAATACAATGGGGAAATGGTGTTTTATAGAATTAGTTATCAAAAGTTTGAGATGTGAAGATTAAATGAAATGCATGTATATGACATTAGAAGGAGAAAAAAGAGATCCCAGGGCAGTGCTTAATCCACAAGAATATTACTACTAATAACAATAGCTGACATTTATTGAGTATTACACTACACAGAATGATGTTCCCCAGATGCCCACATGTTAATAATCCCTATGAATTCATTGCCTTGTGTGGCTATATTAGTCTACAGAGGCTGCTCTAACCAAGTACCACAAACTGAAGGCCCCGAACAACAGAAATTTATTTCCTCACAAATCTGGAGGCAAGATGTTCAAGACAGGGTTTGTTTCTTCTGAGGCCTCTCTCCTTGTCCTGGAGATGCTGACATCATCCCTTTTCCCTGTTTTCACATTAGTCAGGGACATTGTGTCCAAATCTTTTCTTACAAGGATACCTGTCATATCGCTTGGGGCCCATCCTTATGACCTTATTTTAACTCAATGACCTCTTTAAAGGCTCTATCTCTACATAAAGTCTTGTTCTGGGGGGTTAGGACTTCGACATAAGAATTGGGTGGGGAGGGGATAAATTTAGCCCAGAACAGATGTGATTAAGGATCCTGAGATGAGGAGCTTATCCTGGATTATCTAGGTGGTTCCAGTGTAACCACAAGTGTCCTCCTAAGAGGGAAGCCAGAGAGAGTAAGAGAGAGAGATTGGAAGATGCTGTATACTGCTGGCTTTGAAGAGGGAGGGGCCAGGTGCCGAGGGATGCAGGTGGCCTCTAAATGCTGGGAAAAAATGAGGAAACAGATTCTCCCCCAGAGCTCCAAGAAGGAACACAATCCTGCTGACACCTTGATATTTAGGACTTCTGATCTACAGAATTGTAAGATAACAAATTTGTGTGTTTTTTAATCTATGAAGTTTATGGCATTTTATTATAGCAGCAACATGTAAAGACCAGAATTTAATTTGCCATCTCATGTAACCCTCACAATAACTCCATGGGGGCAGGCACTGTTATTATCCCCATTTTGCAGAAGAGGAAAGTGAGATGTGGAGAGGTTAATACTCTCCCAAGGCCACACTGCTAGTGACAGAAATGGGCTTTGCACTTTGACTGGTTGGCTCCAGAGCACCCCTTTGACCCCGGTAGCACTCTACAGAATGAGTGTCTAACTGATGATGGAACTGTAGGCAGACTGGCTGGCCACTGAGGTCTCTGAATACCTCTCAGGTCATCCCTGCCCATCCTCTGACAGCCATTGGAGGCTGGTCACAGCCCACACCCATCCACACATCACAACAAGGACGCCCCCTGCATCTACCTGGGCCGGGCTTTCCCCTGCACTACACCACTTTTAGCTCAGCGACTAAAGGACACATGCCCCTCCACCTGGGTGGTCTTTCTGGAATTCCCGTTTTATCTCTTCCACCTTTTTGTCCCCTTCCTATGGCTCTCACTCTCAGCTGAGAATGGCTGAGGATCGAACCATGGACTTGGAGGTTATTTTAGGGGTTGAGAGGATCCCTGAGTCCACTTTCCATAATCAGGTCCACGCCGAGCCTCAGTCCCTCTGTTTTGCCCACAGGTCAGGAAGCTACCTGCTGGGAGAGCTGCGTCATTGTACACTTCCCAGCGCCGGCACAGTCTCCCTGCCAAGGCTGCCCTCTGCCCACGCCCCCAATAAAACATCTGTTTTCTATTCCTTGTTAGGAACATCTTGTGCGTGAACCCTGTGGGAGTGGGGCCAAGGGGTGGCCCTTTGCTGGGCTGTGCTTTGTGTTCTAAGCCAACCATACTTATTAAGCCTATGACGATTGCTTCTCTTACTTTTAAAGAATAATAAGTAATGTGGCTTTGTAATTTGCTCAACCCCAAAGACCTCTGTCCTCCTCCCTTTTTAAAATTCAAATCTCTATGTTGCCCCATTAGATTATACTTTTAAAAAAAACAACAACAAAGCTTTCTGGAAATCAAGATATTATTTATATACAATACAGTCCACTCAGTTGAAGTGTACGGTTTGATGAATGCCAGTAAATTTATTCAGTGTGTGACGATGACAGTCAGGATAGTGAATGCTTCTTTTCTCATGCCCCTGGTCCATCAGTCTCTCCAGCGGCAGCCTCAGGCAGCCATGGATAGACTTTCTGTCACTGTAGTTGTGCCTTTTTGAAAACCTAAAAGAATGGAATCACAGTTGTTGTCTTTTGTGTTTGACTTTCTTTATTTAGCATAATGTTTTGAGGATCCTCCTTATTATTGCATGTAGTGTTTTAGTCCCTCTAATTGCTGAGGAGTGTTCTAGAAAAAGAAAAAAAAAAAACACTGTCCATTCACCAGATGATGGATATTTGGATTGCTTCCACTTTGGAGCCATTAGGCATACAGCTGCTATGAGTATTCTCATACATATGTTTCAGTTTCTCTTGGGTAAATTCCTAGGAGTGCAGTATGGTAACTATAAGCATGGCTTATAAGTAAATTGCTTTATAAGTAAGTATGATTTAATTTTATGAGATACTCCCATAGATTTTTTTTTACCCAAAGTGTCTGTACCATTTTGCATTCCCACTAGCAACATTCATACATTCCAGTTCCTCCACATCCTCACAAAGCTTAGTGTTGGTATTCTTTTGACATCTTGACCATCTAGTGAGCAGATGACTGTATTTCATGGTGGTATTTCATTCTAATTTGCATTTCTCTGTTGACTAGTGATGTTGAGCATCTTTTCATAGGCTTGTCATTTATATATCTCCTTCTGTAAAGCATCTGTTCAGTATTTTACCCATTTTTATTAGACTGTTTTTGTCTTATTACTATTTGAAAGAACTCTTCACATATTCTGGATACAAGGCCTTTCCAGATGTGTTTTTTTTGGGGGGAAAACAACATTTCTCCCAGTTCCCCATGGGCTTACTCTTGATAAGAGATAGAGTTGATCCTTGAACAATGCAGGGATTCAGGGCACCAACCCCACACACAACAGAAAATTTGTATATGACTTTTGACTGCCCCAAAACTTAACTGCTACAGCTGTCCCTCAGCATCTTCAGAACATTGATTCCAGGATCGTTGCCCCTTCCCCCGGCCCCCGAAAGATACCCAAATTCATGAGTGTTCAAGTCCCCTATATAAAAGGGTACAGATCAGGGCAAACAGCCCTCTGTATCCTTGGATTCCCAACCACAGATCAAAAACAGCACTAGTATTTTTTTTGGGGGGGGAGGGGAGGATTTGTGTATCAATAACCCACACCGTTCAGGGTTCAACTGTAGTGATATGGTATGGAAAGAGCCTGTCTCTATGCTACTTCCTAGCCATTCCTCCTTGGGCAAATCCCTTGAGCCAAATTCTGTGAGCCTCAGTTTCTTCATCTGTAAAATGGGAACAAAATACCTACCCTGCCTTCCCCACAGCATCATTGGGGTCCCATGGAGAATTGTCACTACAATAGCATTTTGTAAGCATCTTGGACCTGTAAGCAGTATGGTCAAGTTGCTATTGAGTACTGAGACCCTTCTGTGTCCCTGCCCTAAGGCTGCACATTGTCCTGAAGAAGGGCAGGGCAGGGCAGGCACTCCTCTGCCAAGGTGGATTGCCAAGGAGGGATGCAGGTGGCAACTGTGAGGAGCATCCCCATGGGCTTCAGGAACAGGGAGTTGCTCACTCAGGCAGCCGAGTGTCTCCTCTGGGCCTGGCCCTGCCCTCGGCACTAGGAACACAGCCTCACAGAGCCCCCAGACCAGTGGGGCAACCAAAGAGTGAAAGGTGCTGTGTGGATCCTGTCCTGACAGGAGAAGTAGCCCCACTACTTCAGCAGGGGCCCTGAGCCTGTTTGAATGAGGCTTATGAAAGGGGTCAGCCCAGCAGTAGGACCAGCATGTGCAGAGTCCTGTGGCCCAGCCCAGCATATGCCCTGTTGAACCCTAATGCTTTGCAGAGAGCCCAATGGTCTCACGGGGACTCCTTTAACATCAGTGACATTGTTACTTCCAGGATCACCCTGAGGTGGCTGCAGATGGAGTTGGGTGCCCCTTTGCAGATGTTGGCTGCTCCTTCAAGGTAAGCATCTGAGAGAGAAAGGACATCTGTCTAGTGTAGCCCTAGGCCACTGGATCTCCCCACTTCAGCCCCTCCAGAATTTTCCTACAACATCAAGCTACTCCTCTGTATGCCCCTTACATTAATGACCTTCTCAAGCAACAAATCTCACCAGTCAATCATCTCTGTACTCAGGAGAGTTCTTAATGTATTAATATCATAGGCATCACTAAAATGACCAATCCCCATCCCCCCATGCCTCTCTCCATGGTCCTGAATAACACGGCCCTCAAAGACAGGGCAGACTTGTGGTACAGGCCTGGAGGCATGGCTCACTGTGAGCATGTCTGATGTCACGGCCCTCCAGATCCCTGTCACTGTGCACAAAGCAGCTTCCCCTTTGCTGGGTGAATGGATCTGACTTTCTTTGCAAACCTTCTCTATTTTCACTGATCAGTCCCACTCTTTCGGCAGGGAAGTGCAAAATTCATGCAGGAGCATGAGGTCACCTCTCAGGCCACCCACCTAAACCTGCTATTGGAGTTCGTGAAACAGTGGAAGGCCCAACTGGGCTCAGGCCTGGGGTCGGGCCCCATGGCCCTGGAGCGAAATCTGTCAGACCTGCAGCTGCAGGCCGCCGTGGAGGTGGCTGGGGACCTGGAGGTGGACTGTTACCGGGCACCTTGCTCTGAGAGCCAGGAGGAGTTGGCCCTGCAGCACTTCATGAAGGAGAAGCTTCTGGCCGACCTGGAGGGGAAGCTGCGCGTGTTTGAGAATATTGTCGCCGTCCTCAACAAGGAGGTGGAGGCCTCCCAGCTGGCCCTGGCTGCCTCCATCCACCAGAGCCAGCTGGACCGCGAGCTCATTCTGAGCTTGGAACAGAGGGTGAGCGTGGGGAACAAGGTTGCCTTCAAGGCTGGCTCAGAGGTCCCCTGCCCCATCTTGTGTCCAGAGCAGTGGATCAGCTTTCCTCCTAACTTCCTTCTCCCTGCTCACAGCAGTTGCTCCCTGGTCAAAAAGTATCTCTCCTGTATCCCAGGGCCTCTAGGTGAAGCACTTAGAAGTTATAGTGAGGTTCATCCCATTATCCAATGGTTCATGCCCTTTGCTTGAATTTCTCTCATGGTAGGATCCTCCCTTTCTAAGCTCTTCATTCCATTGCTGGACATTTTTTATTATTAGAAAGTTCTTCCTTAGATTAAATTGAAATCAGCTTCTTTGTGTCTTCCCTGCATTGTTCCTGGCCCTGCCCCTCAGGACCCGAAAAACAAATCTGCCTTCTAGACTCCATGGAAGCCCTTCAGAGACGAGCAGTGACTGATTATATCTTGATTATATAGTACTTCCTTCTTTAGGCTAAATGCCCCAGGGCCTTCACTCCTTCATCGTAGCACGTTGTTTCATGCTCTGGCTCAGTCTCTGAAGGATTCCACATAGTCAGAATGGTGGTCCCAGACCAACTCCAGATAATCCACTTATCTGACAGTTCTTGGTTTAGCAGGACTGTCGTCTGTCCCATCCTTTGTTCCAGAGCTTATACTTTTCTTAATATAACAAGTTTGTGTGTGGGGAGGGGATTGTTTGTTTTTGTCATTGTTGTTTGTCTTTCTTTTTGCAACTTGACATGACAGTCTCGTGTTTATATAGGCCTGGATTTTAGTTCCAGCTCCACCATAAACTTGCTATGTAGGTCTGAGCAAACTTAGGAAACTTCAACATTCTCATCCATGAAATTAGGAATTCAATTTAAGAACACTCACTTCCACTCCTGACTTCCCTACGTGAGCACACCCAGGAATAAATTTGTATTCTTTCAAATGTGAATAGGGAGCCTACCAGAAGAGCCAAGCACTGGATTTGAGTGATCAAGTAAAGCCTTATTTATGAAACTCTCACCCCAGTTAGAAGGTGGGCTCCCTGAGGGCAGCGACTGCATCTTGAGTTCACCAGCAGACTTTCTGGCTCTCCTCTTAGATGTAAGGCGGGCACAGAGAGAAAAGTGAGCATAGGCCCAGCCTTTGGTAAGGAAGAAAGACATCTGTCTTGTAGGAAAGATGGAAAAATAAATTTCATAAAACTGCTGTAAGGACTCCATCAGAACATAGATGAGGGAGAGAGAGACTAGCTGAGCTAGGGCGATGGTTGACTATCAATACTTCCCAGAGGAAGGGCTGTGTGAGGTCATGAGCGGAGGACTAAGTGATGCTTCCCCACAGGTGGTGGATTTGCATCAGACACTGGCCCAGAAAGACGAGGCCCTGGGCAAGCTAGAGCAGAGCCTGCGCCTCATGGAGGAGGCCTCCTTCGATGGCACCTTCCTGTGGAAGATCACCAACGTCACCCGGCGGTGCCACGAGTCGGCCTGCGGCAGGACCGTCAGCCTCTTCTCTCCAGGTAACACTCCCCGGGGGCACAGAGACCGACGGGGCTCAGAAAACAGCATGGGGAGCAGCCAGTTCTGTGACTCTGTCCAGTTAGGCCGGGTCCCTTCAGGTCACCTATCATGCTGGGACCACGGAGGAGGAGTTAGGTGCCTGGCTCGGCCACATAAAACTGGGGCTATTTGAACTGTGATGCCTTCCACCTCCCCAAGTATCAGTCACACTCTGCAGACAGGAATAAAATTGTTGTTTTTTTAAAATATATATTTTTATTGATTTTTTACAGAGAGGAAGGGAGAGAGAGAGAGCTAGAAACGTCGATGAGAGAGAAACATCGACCAGCTGCCTCTTGCACACCCCCTACTGGGGATGTGCCTGCAACCAATGTACATGCCCTTGACCGGAATCGAACCTGGGACATTTCAGTCCGCAGATTGATGCTCTACCACTGATCCAAACTGGCTTCGGCAGGAATAAAATTGTTATTGACTTCGAGTGGATGTCAGTTGTGAAAGACAGTGTGCCATGAACCAATGCTTGTGCAAATGAGAGGACAGTCTTCCCAGGTGGGACCTCTGCCCTCAGAGAACCAGGGTCTGAAATAAGACAAGTGGAGGACTAAGTGTGTGATTGCAGGTCACGTATTAGGAAATATTGTGTAAACCAGGGCAGCGCTTTCTCATTTCTGGGCCCTGGAGCTTGGCACAATATCTTGCCTAAAATAGTTATTTGGCAAATGTTTCCCTTAATCCAGTGGTTCTCAACCTTCCTAATGACGTAACCCTTTAATACAGTTCCTCATGTTGTGGTGACCCCCAACCATAAAATTATTTTCATTGCTACTTCATAATTGTAATTTTGCTACTGTCGCACCCACAGGTTGAGAACCGCTAGTAGGGTTGCCTAAGACCATTGGAAAACACAGATATTTACATCATGATTCATAACAGTAGCAAAATTATAGTTATGAAGTAGCAACAAAAATAATTTTATGGTTGGGGGTCACCACAACATGAGGAACTGTATTAAAGGGTCAAGGCATTAGAAAGGTTGAGAACCATTGCCTTAATCAGTTGATTTCTATTTTAACACAATGTGTATATTTTTGCATAGAATGCTCAGGCCTACCTGCTCTTCCCCTCTCCTCATTCACACATGTCTACATAGACGAGGGCGGGGGGGGGGGGGGGGGGTGCGGGAGGGAGGGGAGGATCATTAAGGAAAGTTTCTGCAGGTGACAACTTGAATGACCTCTCACCTTTTCCCCAGCTTCATACCTCTCCTGTCCATCTGCTCCTCTGATGGAACAAGACCCACAGGGCTGGGATGGAGAGAGGCATTGGAGGTTGCTCCGTACCCAGAGCGGGGCGGGATCCCAAAGCCAGGCCCATTTCCTCAGGAGCAGTGGTAGCCCCCTTCACAGGGTGGCCTCACCTCCAACACGAGGCTTTTTCTCCTCTCCTTTCCAAGGAGGGACAAAGCAAGCAGTGTCTCTGGCTTCCTGTATTACCAAAACGTAAGGGGCAGGATGAGTCAGACTGTCAGTCTGTCCCTCCTCCTCCCCTTCCTGCTTGCCCCCTCCTACACCCTGTCCCCAATCAACCCTCCCAGAGGGGCCCTTTCCAGCCATGAGAAGCCATACTGGATGGTCCTTTCAGCTGCAGAGAGAGTCCAGAGACCGCTGTGCTGAGTCACCAAGAGTGATGTCACCAAGGGTGCCTAGCAGAACTGAGCCCACTCTTCCTCACCTGGCCCGAAGTCTGTGTTGGGATACAGGAGGCCTGGCCCCTCTTCCTGGCTCTGCCCCCAGCAGAACTCTCTGGGTTCGGTTTTCTGACTGCAAAATGCAGGTCGGTTAAACCCAAAGTGTGGTCCTGGGCAACAGCATCACTGTCCCCTGTTAGACATGCAGTTTCTCAGTCCTCACCCAGCACTACTGAGTCCAAACCTCCGGGGTGGGGCCTAGCAATCTGTTGACTGCCACGAGGCTAGGTGAGTGCCAAGGTCTGGGTCCTCTTGGACTGTATGTAACCGAGAAGGAGCTGGGCTCCAACCCCAGGTTTCTTAGTTTTGAACCGACTATGGGCATGCCTAACCGCTGGTCCCAGTTTCCTTATTGGCCAAGCTAGCATTCTCCAGCTGCCTCTGTGCTGACTCTGACTTCCACACTGCAGCTTTCTACACGGCCAAGTATGGCTACAAGTTGTGCCTGAGGCTCTACTTGAATGGCGACGGAACGGGAAAGAGGACCCACCTGTCGCTCTTCATCGTGATCATGAAAGGGGAGTACGATGCTCTGCTGCCGTGGCCTTTCCGGAACAAGGTACGGACCAACGGGAACGCTGGGGAGGGTGCGGGAGGGGCGGAGCCTGAGTCCTGGTCCCGGGTCCGGGTTAGTCATGAAATGGCCAGTGACCTGGGCAGTCCCTTGCCATCTCTGTGTTATCAGCTTCCCCTCTCATAAAACAAAAGCCTGAGTTCACATCTAGTAGCCAAGGGCCAGAAATGCCTGGACCAACATCCTGGGAGACATGTAGAAATGAAATTCACCTGGTAGGGTGAAGAAGGAAACTTCCTGGAGGAGGTGCTGTGGGCCAGCCTGAACTGGCAGCATTTTCAGAAAAGGGGAGGGAGGCGGATGCCTCTGCACACCTGTCAGAATAGCCAAAATCCAAAACACTAGCAACACCAAGCGCCGGTGAGGATGTGGAGAACAGGAACTCTCATTCATTGCCGGTGGCAATGCAAAATGGCACAGCTGCTTTAGAAGACAGTTGGACAGTTTCTTGCAAAACCAAACATAATCTTACTATCCAATCTGGCAATCACGCTCCTTGGTATTAACCTAAAGAAGTTGAAAACTTATGCTCACATAAAAACCTACACATGCATGTTTATAGCCACTTTATCCATAGCTGCCAAACTTGGAAGTCGCCAAGATGTCCCTCAGTAGGTGACTGGATAAACAAACCATGGTGTATTCAGACAGTGGAATATTATTATTCAGCACCAAAAAGAAATGAGCTAACAGGCCAAGAAAAGCCATGGAGGAACCTTAAATGCATACTGCTAAGTGAAATAAGCCAATCTGAAAAGGCTACATACTGCACGCTTCCTCCTATATGACATCGTGGAAGAGACAAAACTATGGGGACAGTAATAAGATGAGTGGTTGTCAGAGGATGAGGAGGGGTGGGGAGATGAACAGGCAGAGCACAGAGGATTTTTAGGGCAGTGAAACTACTCTGCATGATACTGTAATGATAAGAAAATGTTATACATTTGTCCAAACTCATAGAATGTATAATACCAAGATTGAACCCTGAGGTAAACTATAGACTTTTGGTGATAATAATGTGTCAATGTAGGTGCATTGATTGTAACATGTGTCCCACTATAATATGGGCTTTGATGGTGTGAGAGGTTGGGTAGGGACAGGAGGTATATGGGAAATCTCTGTATTTTCCATTCAGTTTTGCTGTGCAATAAAAGCTGCTGTAAAAAAAAAATAATAATAAAGTCTATTGAAAATGTATAAAAGGGCAGGAGTGCCATGCTGGTCTGAATATGAGTTAGCAGGTCAGTGGCTCCCACACCTGCCAGGAGATTTAAAAAATACCAATGACTGGGTCTCACTACAGTAAATGGCAAGGCCTAAGCATCAGGATGTTAAAAACCATCAGGGGATTCTTGCAAAACCAAACATAATCTTAGGTGCAGCTGAGTTTGCAAACCGCTGAGGTGGCTGATGGGAATGCATTTTATGTACTGATGGGCATTCCAGTGCCATGTGCCAGGGAAGAGGATTTGTGTCACTGAGATCATCAGCCTCTTGGAGTGCACAGATCTGCCCCTTGCAGATAGAAACTCAGTTCACGTTTCCGGGAATTGACTGACAGCCCCTGGGTAGATGGCCTGTCTGTTCTCCCCACCTCTGCCCTGCCCAGGAGGTTCCAGCATAGATGACCATCAAACATCTCTGAGCGGGAAGGGACATTACAGGTTAAGCCCCGCCTCCTTATCAGGGCTCAGTCCCACCTATAGCCCCACAGCCAACCAAACTGACTATGGCATTCCACCTACCTCTTCCAGTTGGATAGACCATCAGATCCCTAATCATAGGACAACCCCCAAAGGCTGCTCAGATTTCCAGGTGCTTCCATTCCTGGGGGCCCCTAACCAGCCTGTGTTCAAGGTCTGAGGGGATACCCAGGTGGCAGGCACAGAGCAGCTCTGAGCCCCTGGTAAGCTCCCCAGGGCCTGACTCACATCTGCCCTGGCCCACAGGTCACCTTCATGCTCCTGGACCAGAACAACCGTGAGCACGCCATTGACGCCTTCCGGCCAGACCTGAGCTCAGTGTCCTTCCAGCGGCCCCAGAGTGAAACCAACGTGGCCAGTGGCTGCCCGCTCTTCTTCCCTCTCAGCAGGCTGCAGTCGCCCAAGCACGCCTATGTGAAGGACGACACCATGTTCCTCAAGTGCATCGTGGAGACAAGTGCTTAGGGCAGCGGGACGAGAAGCCGCACCTGCGCCCTGAGGGAGCACCAACCCAGACTCGTGGAGGTTCCACGATCCCAAGGCACAGTGATAGGCTGGGGCTGGCGTGGCCTGAGCAGGGCTGACAGATTGACGATGGCGGCCATCAGCTTCGGGAGGCAGGACCCTGGGATGACCCACAAAGGCAGAGTTCAGAAGGAGGTGGTGGCAGAATTGTTCCCTCTGCCCTGACCACACAGCACTGGAGGCCTGGCCACCACTCCAGAGCTGAATATTGAGGTGGACTTTGACCAGGACCGGGAGGGCATGGGGATCAGGCCTGGGACATGGATGGCCATCTGGAGATAAAGGACCCGAGCCTGGGAAGGTCCCTGCAGGGCCATCATGGAGAGCTGGAAACATGCTTGCTGTCTTCCTACCTGGGATCGGAAACCAGGGGTGGAAGGGACAGGTTGGCAGTGTGAATTCAGCCTGTCAAGCATGCACTGAGCTCCTCATCAATGGGGGTGAACACACAACCTTGCTAATCAGATGTCCCTTAGCTTTGTCTATCTCTTTCCCTTGTCATGGGATCCATGACTGCTTCTGTGGGGCCCACAGAACAGTATCAGGTCAGAGCTGACCCATAAAAGTTGATTTTTTTTTTATGGGTCTTGGACTTTTCATTTTTTTCACCTTTAAGCATATTTTATTAATTTCTTTATTGAATACGGTATCACATATTTGTCCTCAACCCCCCATTCCAATCCTCCACACCTCCCCTCATGTGCCCACCCCCTCTTGTCCTTGACCACTGGTTAAGCTCATATGTGTGCACATAAGTCCTTTGGTTGATCTCTCCATTTTATCCCCACCCTCCCTTTGAAGTCCAACAGTCTGACCCATGGCTCCTTATCTCTGGGTCTGTTCTTATTCATCAGTCTCATAAAAGTTGACTTGATGATGATTGAGCACCAACCATGTATGAGATTTTTCCTTACTGAAGCCACAGCATTGTCCTTGTTTGCAGGTGAGGTGGCTGAGGCTCGAACCTACTCCAGGGGTCTGCAGATGGCCAGCGTCCGTATCACCCCGAAAGCTGCTAAAACACAAGGTGCCACTCCCACTCCACCCCTAGTTTTTTGACTCAGTAGTTCTGGGGTGGGGCCCAGAATTTGCACCCATCCCACATTCCCAGTTGGTACTGGTGCTCTGGGTGGGACTCTCTGCTCTACACAATGGGGCCCCCTCCAAATAAATTTTCAGCCGTTAGTCTGACCATTAAATCAGCATCACCCGCTTTCCACAGCAAGGATTTTTGATGTATTGCCTCCCCTGTACAGGTATTAGAGGGTTCCATTCCTGACTGTCACACGGGTGTCCCACCCTCAGAGGACTGCCCCCAGACATGACATTCAGCCCTCTGAGTGTACCTCCTGAATGCCCCAGACACAAACTTCCTGGAGTGTGGGTACATCCATCTGTGAGGGCGTGACCACTCAGCATGAATTTGCTCCCTTAAGGGATCCCCTGGAGAGGGCCCAGGTAGCATTAGGGAAGGTGTGCTGGAAAGCTTGGAGGAAACTGCCAAAGGCTCCCAGCACAGGGAGGTACAGGTGAGAGCTGGAGAGCTGAGGCTACGGAAGCAGGATAGGGCCTTCAGCACCTGTGCATGCTGGGAAGAGAGTGAAGGGGCAGCTGCAGACTCCTGGACTCGGACAAGAAGCTCCTCATTGCAGCCAAGGGTGACCAGACCTGCGTGTGGTAAGCAGACCTGGGGCTGAGGTGCACATGTCTGTTTTATTCCCCCCAGTGGGGACATGTGACTTATTTGTCAGACTCTAGCGGGCCTGACCAGAGCAAAAGAATCCTTATTAAAATTAGGCTGTTAAATAATGACATCATATATGAGGGTGTTGTTAGTAAGCATCCCAGCTGCCATTTATTGAGTGCCTGTTAGGTACCAGACACTTTATACCCATAATCTCATTCTGCCCTCCCAAAACTCTGATAAGGTAGGTGCCAAGATGATCCCCATTTTGCAGATGAGAAAACTGATATTAAGAGAGCTTAAATTGGCTAAGGTCCTAGTTGCTAGGAAATGAAGAGCTATTGAAATGAAGGCGATGCTAAACTGTCACTTTCCACTCCATCCTCTGCCCCACATTTCCTGAACACCTGCTCTGCGCAGGCCCTGAGGGGGACCGCAAGATGAATCATTCATGTAGTTAGTCATTCAACAAACTCCTTTTGAGCACTTGCTATTTTGTATGAGCTTATTTATAGCCTGCCTTATTTCAGAAATTGTTTATAGCCTGCCTTATTTCTACTTGATATACAAGAGAATTAAAATGTGAAAATGTGGTCCTGTGATGATGACAGATGGCAAACAGAGGTTGGAAAGGTCAGAGGAAGGTAGGAATGAAATAGGTACAAAAGCACAGACCATGAGGTCCTGCATGTGACGGAGACAGGCCACAGATTGTCCTCTGAGCTTCCCAGCAGGCGAGGCCCAATCCCAGGCTGTTCAGTGTCCATAAGACACTAACAAACCAGTTGCTGAGCGAAACATGACTCTCATAAGCCCCGAGACCAGGGGCCTTCCCTAGTGAGCTGGCACGAGGAGCCGGCACTGCGGAGCCTAAGGGGCAGTGTCCCCAAACAGCGTACTCTGCACGTACAGCACGAGTCTCGGGCTGTTTCCTGTCCTCCCCTCCTCGCTGGCTCACATCCCAAAGCAGAGAAGCAGCTCAGAAGAGAGAATGTGACCCGCAGGGCAAGTGTGCCACTCTCCAGCTTCATCCACTTACAAGGTGTACGGAGCATGTGTAGCACACTGGCCGTCCACTAGCTAAACTCGACCCTCAGGCAAGCTCCGTTTGACCGGAAAAGTGTATTTAAATCGGTGGAAGTGGTGGGGAGTATGAGAAGAGGCCATAGAGGTTTGAATTAGCTGTAAACCTTAAACAGATTTCACATAAAAACCTACATTTGGGTGGTGTGTGTTTTTAAAAACAGATTTGACAACATGAGGCCTCAAGAACCAAGAACTGGCTGGAGCAGAGTCCTTTTCCAGTCAGTCCCCCCATGGCTCCCCAAAGGCCTTTTTTGCTGTTAACTTCCCTGGTTGGCTTTACAAATTATTGGGAGCCTTCGGGGCTCGGCCCCATTTGGGGGTATTCTGCAACAGAAGCACTCAATAATTTCTTTATTGTGCGGAGTCCCAGGCCCTGCTTCTTGGGTTTGGGGCTCAGACTGACATCTGTCACAGGTGATTTCTCCCAATGGACCCTGAGAGGCTAGGTGGGCCCTGGGGAGCTGGGTGGGCACTGCTGACCCAGCTACATGGATGAATAGGGTTTCTTTCACCACAACTTTTGGCAAGTACAGTGGGGTTGTGAGTTCAAGGCCACACTCCCCAATGTGGGCCTTGAGGGCAGTTATTCTGAACTGCTGGGGAAATCCCGAGTCACGAGTCATGTGCTATAAATAACTTTGGTGTTGCTTGACCTTAGACCCACCTGGGGAACTTTTCAACCCATGCTCCCCAGCTCCATGCCCAGGCCACCTCCCAGACCAATTCAGTCAAATTCCCTGCAGATGAGAACACAGGCATCAGCAATTTAAAGCTCCTCAGAGGATTCCAAGGTGAGGAGCAGGGCTGAAAAGGGAGCCCCTTCTCTGAACCAAAGTTCCCTTGGGGGGGGGGGGGGAGGAGGCTGGAGGCAGCGAGTAAGTGGACCTTTAGGTGCATGCGTGCTCTGGGGAACCGAAGCAGGAGCACCTCACCCAGCCTGGGGGATTCAAACTCTCACCCTACGCCACCCCCTCTGTCATCCGGAGGAGAGGCCTGGGCTGAGTTTGGGGAATAAATCCCAGGCAGCCACATAAAGGAAATCCAGCCAAGGCTCTTTTGGAGGAAAGAGGTGGAGCCAAAGGTTCTGGCATGGTTCTATCAAGGGTGGAAGTGGGGAGTATGAGAAGAGGCCACAGAGGAAGGAAGGGGCTAAATTGGGCTGGGTTATCAAGGAGGGCTTCTTGGAGGAGGTCAGACTTGGGGCGGGGGGAGGATTTGGAAAGCTGGCAGGGAGAGGGCGAGGTGGTTATTCTGATTAGCTGCTGAAGTTGAAGCTCTCAAAAAAACCCTTCCCTCCCCCATGCCCTTAGAAACGGCTTGAATCACAAACTGCCTGGTTAAAGATGTGTTTGTCTGTTATTTGAAAGCTGCGGTTTCTCTTTAACAGATTCTGGGCCCCATCCTTTGACTGGGAACAAGGAAGGAAGGAAAAACGCATCTTCTTGCCCAGAGAGCTAATTATCCAAGTGCTGTGGGCCTCACCGGGGTGGATGGCGTCACTCGCTCTGTCCTCCAACAGCTCCAACTTCTAACGGGTTGAAGATTTCAGTACATTTTTTATAGGCTTTCCCAAAGCCAACTGGAAGCTTTCTTTCCATAAACGCTCCCCGAGACAAGTAGCCAGGTTTCACATATTAAAATGTAAACGTCAAAAGGGTTTAATATATATATATATATATATATATATATATATGCTCATTTATGAGATCTCAGCTCATGAAACCCACATCAGAGTTCAACAGCATTTGTTTGGTTTTTATTTTTCTGCAAAGATGATGGACAAATGATAAGGATAAAGATCATCACTGATCACTTATCCATTCACTCAACAAACACATACTGGGCGTTTCCTGGGGACCGGGCCTTAAGCTGAGCACCAAGAGGGACAAGTGTGACTGCTCCATCCCTATTGCATCTAGGCTCAAAATACTTCACAATTTACAAAGCTGTCACTGCGATTTTGTGAGTTATATGTAGTTTTGTCCCCATTGTTCAGAGTAGGAAGCCAAGGCTCTTGCCCCAGAGTCACGATGCTAATAAGAGGGAGAACTTGACCTTGGGTCATCAGTGTTCGAACCCTCAGTTCTATCCACTCTACCTTGCTCCTTTTTAAGTAATACCATCTGTTATTGGCTTAGGTCAATAGCTCCAAGGGATTTAGGTTTATTTG